ATTAAATATTTTCATAGCATTTACTATAATATATACGATAAATATTTCATAATTTTTATAATAAATATTTATAATCTGTGCAATCTAAAATGAAAAGATATTTACAAAATATTGAAAATAAGTTTTACAAATATCTTGTAAATTTTCTATAAATATTGCGTGGTGTTTAAAGAAATCACTTATCATGCTCTTCTCGTTATAATACTGATCACTAGAGAATGTTTAGAGATACATTAGAGAATCACTAGAGATACAGAGAACTGATATATAACAAACCAAATTTTAAAAATCTTTGCCCATTCCAGCTTTAAATATGTAACAGACAGATAAACACCTGATAATCATTAAGAGCATAGCTTATTGTTGTAACCTCATTTGTACATAAATAAAAATTATATAGTAATAATATTCAGGGTTTAAGATGTTCACTAAAGATATTAACTGAAGACAAAAATGTATGGAGACGTTCAGTTTATAAGAAGAATTAATGAAATATCTATAACTCGGAAACAAAGTCACAATTGGGTAGTAAATATGATTATATGAACTTTTTGTGTGTTACTTTTGTACCCTGACTTCAAGTCTGAAGTTATATCGACCAGACATCAAGTTATATTACAATAAAAGCTATTTGTCCGTTTTTATCAATAAAGATTAACTGTAATTTCGATTCCATTTACTCTTTATCTTTTTTTAATTCTCAGAACTAGACGAAGTTAAACAGTTAGTTGAACCAAGATTAAACATTTACATAAAACAATCATTAATCCCTTTTTTCGTACAATATATTGTGTAAGAAAAATAACGCAGGAGGATGAAGCATATCATAATTACCGAAATAAAAAGCTTCAATTTTATATAAATCTGATAAAAGATAAACTGCATCACTGCATGTAACATACACGAGCTTGCAGAGACAGAATAATTATTTTCTAACAATAACGTTATATAAAAGCATAAATAATTAGCTGTTGGAACATGCTTATCAGAAAATCGGATATGAGATTGACCGCAAAATGTAAAGAGTGTAATATCAATTTGAAATTAAAAAAAAAAAATAAAGGAAATATATTATTACTACACAAACTACATTGTGGCTGACTAAACTTATTGTTGACTAAGAGTTCTTTAGGAGTTCCTATACATATAACTCTTATCTCCTTAAATGACAAACTGCGCTTCCTTTGTTATCACGAAAATAAGCAGTCAAGTGCATGCATACGTCCATTATTCTTGTGCGTATCACAAACATGACTAAGCGTGCGCGACGTGACGTAAGGAAGACATATAACTACGCAGGAAAAAAAAAAAAAAAGAAATTCGATCATTGCCAAAAATCACGACCTTCGACAAAAACGAAAGAAAAGTTTGCGCGCAGTTAAAATGATGGAGCAAGCCTAATATAACAACAGTGTTCAAAATAATGACGGCGCGCATTCCGACGTCGTCTTGTTTATGAAATCCCAGACGGTCCGGAAAACTCGTGGTGGTGCATTCTACCAAAAAAAAAAAAAAAAAAGGGGGG